GGGGGGGGGTGCTCATTAGCCCACAAGTACAATGTAAAAGTGGGCAAAAGTGGGAGAATACTTAATATGAAAACCAGGTGCCAAATAGGATAGAATTACGCTGCAGTCAGTGCCACCTACATAAAAACATGTATCATCTGCCCTGTGGTATCATGAGCACGTAATGAATATTATAAACTGCAGTGATGACTAACAGATTCAAATATACTTGCCGCATTTGTTCAGAGCGACTATTAGTGCTCCTTTTCCACGTTACAGAAACACCCAATACTTAAGACTCTTTGAATGTTTGTGCAAACTGAACTGCATATTTTGCACCTGTGTGTGTATGGTTTAGAGACTCGCTGAGAGATGTGGTTGCGTTTCTCTGTGAGAGTCTGCCTTCTGTCAAAATGTATCTGCGAGTATATGTCTGCTGGAATCTTGCGAGTGAACTCTAACGTGTTACTTCATCTCTCCTTTCTCGCCCCTGCCGGTGATGCTTTACTGCACAGAAACCTTAAGATTCCCCCTTCATGGTGGTGTGAGCCGTGTCCACAGAGCTCCACAAAGTATTTCCCAAATATGGAGCAATCGTGTCATTTTTTGTAAATTATCGGACACCATGAGAAAATTTATACATATACTCATAACTGATTCACCCTTTGGGAGACTGCATCTTTAGAAGTCTTTTTATGGAGCCAAAATCGCTCATTTGCATTTAGAGAGTGAACCTGGCAATGTCAGCTTTTAGTACTGAATCATGGGACTGCATCAAAGTCATTAAGTGTCTCTTTACAGTTAGATGAGGAATTGTAAGGACACAAGAGGAGTTAATCTACTTACCATTTGCCCTGCAAGACAGGACATGACAAGATGGCGAGGGGAGAAATTTTTGGGCAACTGCTGCTTCTCACTGTTTTAGATAAAAAACGCTGGGCATTATTTGTGTTCAGTCTGCTGCTGCTAGGATAAAACCCCTATTGCAACAGCAGCCGGGACAATTTGATTAGGCCAGTCGGCTTACAAAAGGAGCTAGCAAGGGAATGAAATCATGTCCACACTAATACGTTTTCATTTTAAAAAGCAAAACTTTCTGGATGTTTATAGCTAGTGTCCACATGGCCCTGACTCCTACAGCAAAGTTCTGAAAATGCTGCTGGACACATCTTAGCTTGTGCTTTTTTATTATTCAAACTAGGAGCGCCGCAGATCAAACACAGTTTAATGTCAAGTCCAGCTAATTAGGATCTTTTAGCTAACGGCCCTGCTAGGTCATTCCTAGAATAGCTCAGTGCGTAAAGGCTGGGGATAGGGCTGTTCGATATGACGATATATATCGGATGACGATATAAAAACGTCTATCGTTTCATTTTACGCTATCGTTTGTTTCGTGGTGTCGCAAAATAAACTGTTTATGGCAAGATTTTTTTTTATCGTTTTGATGGTCACTGTAGTGGCTATATTAATTTCTTAAAGTTCTCTCCTTCTCTTATATTTTATATAACCAGTGTTGGGGAGTAACGGAATACATGTACCGCCGTTACGTATTTAAAATACAAAATATGAGTAACTGTATTCCGTTACAGTTACCGTTTAAAGCCCGACACGGAACCAACGTATTAGCCAGAGGTCCCTTTACTACGGTTCGGAGCCACGGACCTTCAGTAATAGTAATAAATCACACAGCAACAGTACATTCATGCAGTTGTAAAAAGCATGATAATATATCCAAAGTCATCCAAAGTATTCAGAATACGTTACTCATTGAGTAACGTAACGGAATACATTTCAAAATACATTTTGGGGCATGTATTCTGTAATCTGTAGTGGAATACATTTTAAAACTAACCTTCCCAACACTGTATATAACCACACTATGGACGGACAAGCGCCTGTTTTTATGCGTTGTCGTTAGCAACAACGACGGTAAAACCATCGCGTGTCCGCTTGTTTATGTTCCACATAAACCTTTCACAATAAAGCTCAAGATCCTGTTGAGACTTTTCAAAATAAACTGAATCACGTGAAAGAGCAGATTATTTATGGATGAGAAGTAAAAAAGAGCCAGCAGGTGCTAAAAAATAAACCTTAGACTCAAACGTTAGAACAGGCAACCCGCAGCACGCCGTGCAATAAATACAAAGAAAATGGCGGCCGGTACAACTTATGTCTAAAAATGTATCGTTTCATGCATCGGTTAAAACACTCGACTCCGGGTAAAGGACGCGCAGCTGGAAACACTTCCCGCAAGTCGAGCTGCCCGAGATTCACAGAATTGACAGAAAATGTTACATTTTTGTGATTTATATCGTTATCTGGACGATAAAATTCTTATATCGGGATATGAGATTTTGGTCATATTGCACAGCCCTTGCTGGGGATGTTTTAAACTCCCCAAAAGAAACATCCTGTTTTGTTCTTCTGTTAAATGAACATTACGCTGTCTCTTCACATTACAGACAAGCAGGACTTGCCCAGCTCCAACATTACTGCTATCTTTCTATTAACTAGCTACAGCCGCTAACTCAATGATAACTTAACGGAAAAGACATGTGGCTGTGTGGTAACATTTAACTGTGTGCACTGGCCTGGTTAATATGTACGTTAACAGTTGGATACTTGTCAGTGTCTCAGCTGCTTTGCCAAGTCTGTTGCGTTGCTGTGGCTGCGTGTCCATGAAGATCGCACCATTAGGATGATTGCAAACGAGTATCTAAATTTTGGTACTAAATGCTATAGTAAGAATTGGCCTCATCTGGACAGCCAGACACGCATTTGGAAGCAGTTAGTATTTGCTGTCCTCTACCTCATGACCTACTCTAGAGAACAAAAAGACATCAGCCCTGGCTAACTGGACACTTCAACATGGATTATGAATCACAACACGTTCACGCCACTTCTGTCAACACAAACAGTTATGCGATGTACGCTTTTAACCATTTCAGTAAGTCCAGAGATGGTTTTCGTAACGTTACTAAACAGATGAGTGTTCATCTGTTTAGGGATGGTTTTTTGTCAAAAGCAGCGTATCAAAATGAAAACGTATTAGTGTAGATGTAGCTGGTAAGTAGCAATCTCTGAATTTTCCTTTAAAGGAAATAATTACACTAAAGATGCTGTGCTTACAAAGGGGCTTAAAAAAAAGATTAGTTACAAGCAACATGTTTAAACACCAGTGGAAGTTTAATGCATATCCTAAAGGTTTAGGTTAGGTTAAGTGGCAATAAAGCAGCAAATAAATAAATGAATAAAAAAAGTTATTACTAGTTTCTTTGACATGTAGTGCCATGATCATCATAATGTATCAAAAAACCACTTTGGATATCAGCCATTTTTAAATATTTTTTAAGATATCAAATTGTTATATATGTATATCAGAGAAACTTTCTCCAAACTGTGCTGTTGAAACTTTTTTCCCCACTTGTGAGAAAACTATTAGCAAATGCTTATTAACACACATTTCTCAAAAAAAGGAAGAAAACAAGAGCTTTTTTCTTTCCCCACAAAATCTCAGCCTAAAGCAGCAGTGACAAGTGCCATACAGTATGTTGTTAAAGGCTACAAGGTCATGTTATGTAACCAGCTCGCACGTATGCACAAGCATTTCCATGTTTCTGAATTACTAGTTATAAAGAACTCATTAACATTAAGCCATTTTCAGTACTCAACATCTCCTCACATTATGCAAAAATATGGACAGAGCTAAAGTGAAACAGTACAAGGGGAATTCTGAATGAATGTGAGGCAAACAGACCTAGAGAAAGAGCTATCGTGCCGTTGCATAATGACAGTTTTCAAGTGTCAGATGAGCACTGGCTCTGATGGTTTGGTGGTCAAGTGGTACGCTGTGTTCTAAATCGCCATCGTCTTCGAAAACAAGCTTCACACAACCTCTTCTGGACAGAGCTGTGTGAATTACAAATGTGCGCGCAAATTCCAAGCCTGCTGGGGCTGATTTACAGGAATGGGAGAGTAATGATTGGAATTTGCTTCCTAATTTGCACATGTAAATGAATTTGTATAGGCAAATCTGGGAGCCTTCTCAGGTTAACTGATTTACAAATACCAACACAAAAATCAATAAATAATGAATGTATTAAAAAAAATACAACAATGTATCTCTTTAAATGATTAATAAATGTTTGTATCTTCCATCCTAGCTTTTCAGAGACCACATGCGGTACTAGCACCAGATTAATCTTATGCACACACTAATGTTGCCTGTATGACACTTTATGCCACAAACCCGCATGGCAAAGCAGCCATTTCTCTCTCACACACAGACACATTATAAAAATTCCAATCCTCCGCTGATCCCAAGCTAAAGTCTGCATGACTCTTACCTTATTAAGTAGCAGCAGAAGAGGAGGCTGAGGATGAAGACAAAGATGGCTGTCCCAAACACCACAATGTAGATGTTAAGGGGAAGGTTCTGGAACCCTATATTTGGCATCCTGAAACTGTAGTGTGGGAAATCGGAGCTCATGGATAGCCTGGATGGAAAGACACAAATGGACATAAGTACTTCCAGACACCAACACAGTCCACAGAAAGAAAAACCCTTTGTACCAGTAAGAAAACTAAATGACTCTAAGGAGCTGGAGCTGAGGGCATGTCATCATTTTAGAAGTGCTGCTTAACTGTAATACCATAATACCAAGTGTTACAATTAGTTAACCTTGATGAAGTGATGTAAAATACAATGTAATGATAAAACACGGGTTAACTGGGACTTGTTGTCCAAAGGCAAAAACCATCCTGCATGAAGGTAAACTTAAACCTCAGAATCTGCAATGAAAACAAACAGCAGGGCAATGATGCAACGAGTAATAAAGGGCAACTCAGAAAGCACAACTGTGACATTATAGCATTCACGACCTCTTGGTATCGAACCACTAAAGCTTTGTTTCTACCAAAACAAGGCAACAGAACAGAGAAAATTGTTTATTTATGTAATTTATATAATTTAAAAAGAGTGTAAACACATGTGCAGGCAACTTTTGTTTAATATTTTCTTCCATGTTTGTACTTCTGATAAACTTAATCCATCAAATCCAAGGAACACTAACAAGGATAAACTGGCCAAGTGCTCTTACTCAACTTATGAAAAAGGACAAGACTGGGCATGTCTGAGCCTACCCACAGAAGATGAGGAGGGGGGACCGGAATAACTTTTGCTCCTTTTGGACCCGTGTCTTGTGCTCCTCCCTCTTCCCTAAAGGCTTCATTCCTGTACACTTCCCGAGTGGAAAGTTTTGGAGGTTTTACTGAGGCCATTAACAATCCCCCGCTCACTGTATAACTGTCCACCCCCCTCCCCCAAAAAAAGCTTCCTATTACATAACAGAGTCACCTCCATATGGTGGGCACTTTCTTAGCTTTATTTCGAGGCGCTTCTACATGACATTACTCCAGCTGGTATTAGCAATCATGATAGCTGCCTTGCTCCAGAACGGCAAGTCATCCATACATAAACGTGGTTGGCACAGCGTCTCTTTCTAGCTTTACACAAGAGCAATGCAAGGCACATGGTTTATGATACAGGAGAAGTAAAGGACCTGATGTTCTCCTAACAAATGTTTCAGTGGCTCAGCATGACTTTGAAACTGTCAGCTTACAAAACGACTGTAAAAGCTACGAGGACCGAGATTTATCCCTTAAATATAAAGAGCTCTGAGTGAACTGAGCACATGGAGTCACCAGTTTAAAGGGGGGTGAAACGGGAAAAATGTCCCAAATATTAGGCACAACAGCCAGGTCAAGCTTGAGTAGTATCGCAGAGGAAACTGAGCCCAAATTGTATGTGTAAGTATCACATCCCAGAGGATGGAATCTGGCGTTTAAGATAAGCATAGCTTAGATAAGGAATGAAGCTAGCGTGCTGTCTTCAGAAGAGAGGCTATTGAACTCAAAAGCTAACTGAGTTTTTTGTTTGTTTTTTCCTCCAAAGACACTTTGAAATTGAATGAAATTCTTGTGACTTTAACAACAGTTTCCTCTGCTGGCCTGCAAAACATTGTGGTGCATGTAGAGATCAGAGTATTACATGAACATCAGGGAAAGTCTATTATATTCAATTTCAAATATCCTAAACTCATAGGGCTCCCGGTGGCCCCGTGAGTTTAATCATTCATGAACGAGCAGCAAAAAAGACATTTCAGTTTAGAATTTTGCCAGCTAACTGAAGCTTGGTAGCCTCGCATGTGCAAAACTCAAGCCCCGAGCTCAACTGTCTTCTTCACAAACAAAGTCCAGGCAACCATGCTCTTGTTATCCGATAACAAACATGCCTCTGTGCTGCGTACCTTTGACACAATGTGAGAAGCACCTCCAGAAACACCTCCAAAACTTGAAAACAAAACACACACTTTCATTTACAAGATTAGTCCTCTGTTGCAATCTTGCGTCAGTTCACACAGTTAGAATAATTTCTTCGAGTAGTTCAAGCTACCAAGTTACACAACTACATGTTAATGAAATTATCTCCAGACTGCATCACTTATATTTTTGTTAAATATAGAATAAAGAAACTCACATATACATACCCTATTGGTGCTTTCATGCTGAAGAGCAGAAAAGTGTGCATCTATCTGTAACACAGGCCTTTACAAAGTGCCATGCTGTGTCCTTGAGAGCCTTTTCACTGAGTGCATCTGTTGACTTGTTTGGATCATATCTGCGCCCTGTTCATAAAGGCTCCCTGCCAAACTCGAGCCCCTCTCTGCTCTCCGACTCTTTTGGCTTCTCTGTATTAACAAGAGCTGAGCCGAAACTGAAGCTTTGGGGCCAATTCCGACTTACAAACTGTAGAGATGGAAGGTTGGAGACACGGCTCAACTCCAAACCGCATTGTGACGCATGCTCTGTTATTTGTGAGACTCTTGTAAACAAAGGAGCCAAAGTGGACAAACTACTGTAACTATTGTAAGACACAGTTCCTTTATCTGCATTCAAGTTCAAAGAAAAAAAAAAAAAGCTTCTGTCTGACATATCAGGCCAATATTGGTCAACATTGTCCAACCAACACAGCCGCAGCATCATACCCGAGCTTAACTAACCACAGAAACATGCTGCGCAAACACCTCTGGAGAAATCTGAGTGCGACACACTGACAAACCTGTTCCTCATAGTAGATAATTAGGACAGAGGTCTTCAGCACAATCTGGAAAAACAGACGCTGGAAAATTGGAATAAAACTAAAACACTACAGTTTGGAAAACTAGTATTTAGTCGTATTATATATTTTTATACGTCTAGTATTATTTTTTATTATTAAGTTTTTAAATGTCATTCATAAAGAGTGGCATTTTGTCAATGGGGAACAGTTTAAATACAATAATGAGACTAAAAACAATTATTTCCACAGTTCTTAAATATCGCAAAGTAAACAAAAGCACATAAACTGACATGTGACCCAAGCGCTGAACTTTAACTCTGTTTCTCTGAAATCCAGCACAGATATGGTTTTATTGCTTGCTATATGAGAGACACGTAGGTCAGGGATCTGGTTACTGGGATGTGTCATTTAGGTATGCTGGTCACGGCTAATACGATCACACTGAAAGATAGGTTTAAGAAGTCTTTTGCCCTAAACCATGAGGCTGTGTCTTTCACTCTGTGCAGCATCCCTTCAGTATCAAGATTCGCTGACTGACAGGGTCGTGGGTACATCAAGATCTTGAAATATAACCCCCTTGCAGTCAACAACTTACATACCTCCAATTTTGTTTGTGTGTGTGTGTGTGTGTGTGCGCGTGAGGGGGAGCGGCATCACGTTGTCAAACACAGGAGAGTATTAGAAAAGGAGCCAGTGTGAACTGGGTGATATAAATTATTCTTTTTGTATTAAATGTATCTGCTCTCCTCATTCCTCCCTTTCTTTCACCACCTGCCTGTCTCCCTCAGACATTTTTACACGGCCTCACCCTATTATGTAACCAGCAACAAGGCTATGCACACTGCAGTTGCATTGGAAATGAAGATGAGTGGGAAAATCTTCACATTCCTTGTGCATGGCTTTGTGAGACACGATTGAAGAAAAACAAAGCAAAAGTAATTATTCTATTTTCATCAAGAGTAAAATAGAAAGGAATTCGTGCAAAGTACAAATGAGGAAAACATGACTTTTGATGTTCACCTTTTGTCTGACCTCTGATATTTTATTGTCCAGATTCATGTGCGATGGGACTAGAAAGAGTTACTCCACACTGAGCTCCTATATGTGGGTTTCCTAATGATAACAGCATATTCTTGCACAGAGTTTATTTCAAGAAGTTGCATGATCCACACGACCAACCACAATTCTTCAGTTTAATGTCACATCTTGGGGATGAATACACACAGGAAGAGGCATGACAAGCAAAGGAATTCCTCATAAAATGTTCACAACTGAACACTGAAATGTCCAGTATTTTGCGTTAATGCTGAACACACGTAAGCTTGTGACGCGTGTCACATGTAGCAGAATCACGCATCGCTATCGTCAAGCGGTTACGTACACGACTATTTTAGCGTAACTGACTGCACAATGCCCAAAGTACAGTGCCGCAGCACGATGACTAAAGGACACAAAGGATACATTTTGTCTGCCGAATCATGGGATTAAAAAAACAAACAAAACAACAACATTATCGGGGTGTATCTGCAGAATTTGTTGTTTTTGTGTCAGCAGGATGTACTTAAACACAATACACAGGGCACATAACATCACGAATGTCAGCAGCAGACTGTAAAAACAACAACCATGTAATACGTGACAAGAGGAACAATTACACGCAAATTAAACTTGTGCGTCAGATCTACGTCGTAACTTACACCATAAGTGCAACCCCACCTAACCCTACGCCGCAACCTTCTACGTAACCTGGTGTGCACCTCCCAATAAATGTAACTACAATCGAGTCCATGGTTTGTTTGTTTTGTTATGGTTATACAAACATAGTAAAATTATAAAGCGAGCACTGATAAAGCCAGCCAGCACGTGCAGAACATTTCCCTAACCAGAGAAAACTGAAAAACTTAACTCAGATTGTTTCCACAGTTTTATATAATGAAGATAAACATGTGTTGCCTAACTTACTGGGAAGTTTCCAATCAATTTTCTACAAAAGCAAATCATCATAAGGACACGTGAAAAAAAAAAATCAATGAAACTTCAGATATTTGTGTACATTTGTAGTCTGTGTTTGTTTTGTTCCTACCTACAACTGAGCCTGATTCTGATTTGATCACAAACTTTCAACTCCGTTTAATTTGAAGCAACAGCTCTCCTTAGACCCGAGACAAAAACAAGCCGGAAAAAATAATGGGAGAGCTGTTGCTTCCCATTTGTCGGAACACTGTGCTTCTCCTGGGGATAACATCAACTTCCTAACTAAGAGAGGAGCAAAGACAATGTCTCAGACTGCACTTTTTCATCTCTGCTGGCAGGCAGTTTCAACTTTTAAACTATTTCATAACTTTTTTGGGATTTTTTTTAACTGACTGCAGCCCATGAAGAAACTTTTCCAGTAAGCCAGTGACTCATGATTTATCTGTGCAACAGACTGAAAGCAAAACAATGTTATGCAGTTGTTTCACACTGTAAAACATTCACATCTACTTGAGTCTGATAGGTCAGCCTGATAGAAAAATCTACACGTACGTTAAACCCACTAAAACAAACCAGATGACAATGTAGCCAGTACAGAATAAAGTCCTTATAAGAACGTTAAAAAGGGTCACCCTTGGATACAGACCTAATATTTTCAATGAACAACCCAGGATAGGAACCTTCCCTTTCCATTCGCTCATTACCACACCTCCTGATGAGCATTGTGCAACTTATTAATGATATAACTCACAGTTTGTAAACCTTAAACGTAAAGGACACACCCCACCTCCACCACCCACAATCCTGCCTTGAACTTCTGATCAATAGAAGCTGAACCTTTTTGAACAAGTACCACATGATCCCTCTATGTTTCTACTTTCTTTTGTCCAGCAGCTGGTGAGTTTTACTGCTACTGGCTTCCAAAGAGGAAAAAGTAGTTAAAAGCTTAACAAATTTAAAAAAACGTTACCTATATAAATAAACACCAAATTGCTTTTAAAACAACGCCTAAACTTTTAAATCTGTTGTACAGTTTCTTGTTATCAGCCCTCAGCATTATAATACACAAGATGCTGTATGAAGAGAAGTGGAAATTTCCACTAGCAGCCATGAACGGCCATGAGGTTTGCACATCTGAAACTTAATATGCCAAAGGGCAGCAACAAACACCAGGGCCTCACAGGCAGAGTAAGGGGCTCTTTAAAATGTGCTGGCAGCGAAAAGTGAAATGTCTGCACTCACATGACACTTCACTTACATATCATATTTTCAGCAGTTTAATGTTCAGATAACTGAATCTAAACACACCTGATCCTTATGCCTTAAGACAAGGGTATGATACAAGCCTCAGCGTGAGAGAAGAAAGCTTTTAAACAGTAATTCAATGAAAAAGATGGATTATGTTTTGCATGCAGCAGGTAAAGACACGGTTGTGCATCTCACTATTTACTTTTGGCTAGCAGTGCCCACAAACGCTTGCTTTTCCAAAGTTGGACCAGGTTCTACAATAAGTAGGTCACTGTAGCTGTAAATCTAGTTATGGAGACGTGGGCGACAGGGTTGTCAACGGGGGCGAGCTCATAGCAACTGATGACACCTAACAGAACTACATGCGCACTTATACATTCAGAAACATGCATGAAATCCACACATATAACAAGCAGTCTTCGTCATCATTAAGTTTCCCTAGAAAGTGTTAACTGTAAGGCTCCTTTTCTAGTGCCGGAAATGTTGAGTATACTTTGTCACTAGCAAAGACGCCGCCCCTCATTTGCTGATCGGCTGTTCGATACGGTGTTAGCCTTACTTTTTAATCTACTTGTGCATATTTACCGACTCAACACATGTGAATCAGTGAGGAGGGCGTTTTTAGAATAGGTAACCAGTCATTTGTAGACTCCTCAAAATAAATCACTCTTTATTAATTTTATCTCCCTGCAACAGAGACAGAAAGCCAGGAACAGTTTTATAAAAGGAAGTCATTAAAGAGACACTGGGGACTGGTGTGATTACTTAATAATAATAGATGAAACATGAATGCAGTAGTACAGGATTTTGAGGATTTTCTGGCATGTCCCAGTTCAAAAGCCAAACGTTTACAAACCACAACTTTTAACCATCATTAACCAAAAAGAAAAAAAGTCTCCAGCATCAACAACCTCGTATTCACTCGACTTTCATATTCATATTTTTTCCCTGCTTGTCTGTACTCTACCTGCCTTGCCTCCACACTACAGCTTTAGAACCACTGGTGTAGTATACGGAAGGGCTGTATTTGCAGTAGGCTAATTAGAGTTTTATGATGTCAGTACAGCCTGTTCCCATCCCGCCAGCATTAATTACTGCATATTTGTCAAAGCTAGTGGCTCAGTCAGGTACAAGGTGGCCTTGGAAATCTTTGCTCCTGAAACACTGGGTCAAAGCACGAGTGAATCAGAGTGGTCACTCCCACCTCATCGTTTGTCACATCTTAAACTGAACCAAGCGGCTGTCAGTGCTGAAATATAAACAGCAAAATTAAAAGGCCTTGACAATTTGTTACAAGAAAACCTAATTTAACTACAGTGGGGCAAAAAAGTATTTAGTCAGTCACCAATTGTGCAAGTTCCCCCACCTAAAATGATAACAGAGGTCAGTAATTTGCACCAGAGGTACACTTCAACTGTGAGAGACAGAATGTGAAAAAAAAATCCATGAATCCACATGGTAGGATTTGTAAAGAATTTATTCGTAAATCAGGGTGGAAAATAAGTATTTGGTCAATAACAAAAATACAACTCAATACTTTGTAACATAACCTTTGTTGGCAATAACAGAGGTCAAACGTTTACTATAGGTCTTTACCAGGTTTGCACACACAGTAGCTGGTATTTTGGCCCATTCCTCCATGCAGATCTTCTCGAGAGCAGTGATGTTTTGGGGCTGTCGCCGAGCAACACGGACTTTCAACTCCCGCCACAGATTTTCTATGGGGTTGAGGTCTGGAGACTGGCTAGGCCACTCCAGGACTTTCAAATGCTTCTTACGGAGCCACTCCTTTGTTGCCCGGGCGGTGTGTTTTGGATCATTGTCATGTTGGAAGACCCAGCCTCGTTTCATCTTCAAAGTTCTCACTGATGGAAGGAGGTTTTGGCTCAAAATCTCACGATACATGGCCCCATTCATTCTGTCCTTAACACGGATCAGTCGTCCTGTCCCCTTGGCAGAAAAACAGCCCCATAGCATGATGTTTCCACCCCCATGCTTCACAGTAGGTATGGTGTTCTTGGGATGCAACTCAGTATTCTTCTTCCTCCAAACACGACGAGTTGAGTTTATACCAAAAAGTTCTACTTTGGTTTCATCTGACCACATGACATTCTCCCAATCCTCTGCTGTATCATCCATGTGCTCTCTGGCAAACTTCAGACGGGCCTGGACATGCACTGGCTTCAGCAGCGGAACACGTCTGGCACTGCGGGATTTGATTCCCTGCCGTTGTAGTGTGTTACTGATGGTGACCTTTGTTACTTTGGTCCCAGCTCTCTGCAGGTCATTCACCAGGTCCCCCCGTGTGGTTCTGGGATCTTTGCTCACCGTTCTCATGATCATTTTGACCCCACGGGATGAGATCTTGCGTGGAGCCCCAGATCGAGGGAGATTATCAGTGGTCTTGTATGTCTTCCATTTTCTGATGATTGCTCCCACAGTTGATTTTTTCACACCAAGCTGCTTGCCTATTGTAGATTCACTCTTCCCAGTCTGGTGCAGGTCTACAATACTTTTCCTGGTGTCCTTCGAAAGCTCTTTGGTCTTGGCCATGGCGGAGTTTGGAGTCTGACTGTTTGAGGCTGTGGACAGGTGTCTTTTATACAGATGATGAGTTCAAACAGGTGCCATTCATACAGGTAACGAGTGGGGGACAGAAAAGCTTCTTACAGAAGACGTTACAGGTCTGTGAGAGCCAGAGATTTTCCTTGTTTGAGGTGACCAAATACTTATTTTCCACCCTATTTACGAATAAATTCTTTACAAATCCTACCATGTGAATTCATGGATTTTTTTTTCACATTCTGTCTCTCACAGTTGAAGTGTACCTCTGGTGCAAATTACTGACCTCTGTCATCATTTTAAGTGGGGGAACTTGCACAATCGGTGGCTGACTAAATACTTTTTTGCCCCACTGTATAACTTCAAGCCACAAGTGAGACAAAGGCTCATAGTAGAGGTGTCATGAGCGGGGAAATAACCTACAGAGAGCAAAACCACTTGTGTACCAGGCTGTACATAGGCGTCTGTAGTCTAGGGATTGACTCCCTTTTGGCGCCAGCAACAAATGGCCATTTGAAGCTTGGCATGTTTTGGCACTTGTGCTTTGGCTTAATGTTCAAACCCCAAAGGCTCACTTGTAAACAAGTTTCTTTGAGCGTTCTTTCGCTTTCACTAGTCTACCACGCTGTAATTCACTCCTGTAATCGCAAAGATTAGAGTTTACCTTTATGGTTTTTTTCTCTATGGTGTTTTGCGTGCGGTGATAAGTTGTTATTTTTCGCTCGGTTTAGTCTCGATAGTGTTGCTTCTAAATGAGAAAATCTGCTGCCTACTTCATGCTAACTTTTAGAGTATGTTTTTTGAGGCTATATTCAAGCCATACTTGAACATTTGATTGATTTCTCTTCCTTTTTAACCATTTTTGTCTGTCTCCGTCTCCATGAGCTCGTCATCGTTCCTCAGTGGACTTTCACAGTAACACAAGACGACACAAATACGAGAAAACTGACACACACAGCTGCCTCATAGCACTCTTGCCCCTGTGCTTCTCTGCAGTTTCTTTTTTCACCCTCCTTTCAGCACTCCCTGCCACCTCATTAACCAGTTTCCATTTGACTGTCAAAGTTTTACTTTCTTTTCTGCTCTTCATTTTATTTGCAACTTCTCGGCTGTTTATTTGCCTTCTAAAAAGCAGCATGATCACTGAACAGGCTCGTGGTTAAATTGTAGCAAGCAGCGTCCTTTTACAACTACCTACTTTAGGGAAATGGGACCCTTGGATGTGCAAAGTGCAGGGTCACAGCTAGTATAAATAACCTGTAGTCATGTGAGGGTGAGTAAGTCAAGTAGAAACATGAAAACAAGCTGAAGTCATATCAATTCTTAGCGTTATCTGCTATTGACCCACAGGGAATCAACAACCAGCCTATGTCAAGTGCAACTTTTGTAAAGAAAACAAGCTGTAAAACTAGTCAGTTAACCCATAGTTAGTATCAGTGAGTCCATACATAAGTGAATTTAGTACTTAGTACTTAGTTGAGGCCAAGAGCCACAAGTGAATGATCAGTGGGTGAAATCTAAGCATTAGATGATTTTCAAAGGGGATCATAAGTATCTCTCTTCACCATATACTCACTAATAGAAACCCTATATTTTGGTTTATTTACTTGAGAAGAATAATTAAATTGGTTATCATTTGTGAAGGCTTATTGTGATACAGATACATATGAGCACAGGAGCGTACACAAGGATTTGTGGATCAATTACATCTCAAGTGCTGCAGCCATCAAGCTTGTATTTCCAGATCAGAGAATATTTGGAACATGTTGGACAGGCTTTAAGCATACACCATGAATTTGTTAAGTCGCTACCGGTCGAGGATGAGCGGATGAAGACAGGACAAAGGCATGGAAGAAAGGCAGAGATTAATATTAACAAACAATTAAATGTGTAGACACATAGTAGGTGAAAAAGGTGACTGAAGAAGAAGTACTAAAGGTATCATGGGAATCCTCCAGCAGCCTAGACCTATTGCAGCGTAACTAAGAGATCACAGGTGGATGTTTTTGTATCTGTGACACAGCTTTGCCTAGTTTTTCTGAGTATCTAACAAGTCTTCAAAGAAGGCATTAAAAAAGCAGAACGGTCATCATTGATGCTCTGTCAGACAGTGAAGTAAGAGGAAGCCCAACCCCTTACTGTTACAGACATCCAGTGTTGCATCACCAGGTGCCCTTGAGGAAAAAAAACAGCCCACTTTTTAAGTAAACAGGCATGGACTTCACTCCTTCCCTCATGGAAAATTTCTGTGTAATCGGTTGCACCATCAGTTCATTTCCTCTAACTAACACTATTTTTCATAGACTTACAAGCTATTACCATCATGGACTGTTCGCTGCCTGCTCTCACTGAATATTCACTTACATTTTTTGGTAGTAAACTTTTGTTACAATGTTTTCTTTTCTTTTTGATGGCTGAAACTGCACAGAATCAAACATGCTACTTCGAATGCTTGAAGGCTGTTAAAATAAGCTTTATTAAATGGATTTCACATTTATGAGCAGGTTAGTGTTAATGTACAACCAATCCACTTGAAGACTGAGTGATTGCTAATGCTACTATCTTTATCAATACGCTAGATATAGGCATTATACATACATAACCCAATTATTACATTGTACAAATTAAATATCCCTGCTTGCCTTACTTGTAGAGGAAAGAAAAAATTGGGGGGGGGG